GTGCGTGGCTCTCAAGAGGTCTCAAAATGAGTTTGGGCCCCTTATTGATTTGGAAAGGGAGCTGAAGAGGAGACAAGGTTGGTCAAGTAGGGGAACTTGCCACTTGGCGAGTCGTTCCAGTTGGTTTCCCTTTTAGAGCACTTCCGGAGATACCCTTGAAACAAAGGCAATGTTTGGAAACCATTTGGAGCCGTCTCCCTTGACAGCCACATCAAGACCCAATGCCGGGGTGTGCGAGCGATAAAAGCCGTGGCAGGTGATTTGTATCCAAACGGGAACAACTGCAAAAGCGGAGTGGACTGTAGTCTGTAGTCGTGGGCCTGCAGCAAAAGGTTCTTTCTCGTCAGACTTGGACACGTAAGGCGCAACTTCCGGCATGTGCTGTTTTTAACATTCCGGCGTGGGAATCGTGGTGGATTCGGTAGGGATGTCTTCAAAGGACGCTAGCTTGCTCAAGACACAATCCCCAATGATTAGCTGATCGCGGATTATGCGGTTTACGGATTAGCGTATGTGATTTGCCGATTATGGATTATGGGTTGCATGGATCTTCCATGCTCCAACATGCTGTTGTGACCCACAATTTGCAGCGCGGATTAGGAAGAGTACCAACCGAACAAGGATTAAGCCCATTACGGATTGGATTAGGACCCCGTGATTTCGGAAAGGCCCGCCTGTGCAGTTGTTTGGGACGGTGGAAGGTGTCTGCGGGGGTCTGGTGGATTGTCTTGGACTTCTTTGCAGTAACTCAGTAGTTGCGGAGACGTTTGAGAGGATTTGGGGATGCCTTTGGGAATGCCTTTGGGGTAGCATGTCGGTTGGGTTCGTAGCCTCTGTCAGGGCTTTTTACTCACGTCGACATAGAGTGAATTAGTGGTCTGGTGTTTAGCATGTATCTGGCAGCTATTTGAAACTCACTCAGGCACCTATGAAATGAGAGCTGATCGAAGGTGCAAGACTCGGGTCTGTTGCCTCTACCCCCAAACCACCTGGCCAAAACGGGTAATATCCCGGTTGCGTGCAGGCTTGGACCCCTGAAGTTCCAGAAATTCGGGGTCGGGAAATCCTTCGGGGGAAATCAGCCATGCTTCAAGTCCTTGAAATCACGGTGAAATCCACCAAGCAATGGAACCCAGCCACCACTGAAGCTCCAAAGTTTCAGTGCCCGGTCAAAGCCCATCCCAAGTTCTCGCCCGAAAGCGAACCTGGCTCAGGAAGCTAGGCGTCGAGGCTCGGGACCGGGGAGCAGAGTCCGCGGGATTGGCAACAGATGTCACGAAGTCGGAGGAAGGAAGGCCTCCATCTACAGAGATCTTGTACAGAGATATTTCTGTACATGGAAGTTGTACCTTTGTCCATGGAAGTTGTAGAAGAAGGCCATGTACTGTACAGAGATATTGCTGCCTTGAGCCAGACTGCCGCTTATGTTGCAACCTGACTGCCAGCTTTCCCTTCAGGGCATCCTGAAGAACGTCCCGTCCAACTACATTTCTGCCATTGTGGGAGCATGGGTGGCCTCCCGCTTCGTTTACAAGCATCTTTGCATGAATCTTTCAATGAGGCTTCTTCCGAAAGGGGAAACCCTTTTCACAGACCATTCTTTGCCCCTTTTAACAGACCCCCAAGCTTCAAGACCGGGTCCCCAAAAGAGAGGCTCCCTTGCACTTCAATATGTGACTTGGAAGCCCGGTGGAAAGGTGCAGGAATGCGCTTGTCGTCGCATCCATGGGGACTGCCGTTATATTGACTATAGGTCAAAACCAATGGTACCATTTTGGGATGGGTGCACCACCCATTTCAGTCTATTTAGTGGGGATTGGGATGTTCACTGGGGGTGCGGGCTTTTGACCCAAGGCCATTTCACACCCATGCACTTGAGTTGCGCCGTGAATCTCATGCTAAGCAAATCGCAGATGACTTCCACACTGAGGTATGGCATTAGCGCGTCGGAGGCGAGGGATGGATGCGACAGCTGGGCATTGAGCCGAAGCTTTGGAGGTTGTTTTCGCCTTGGAGCAACGGATGTTCTTGAGACCATTGACGCAAGAAGGTGTTCTTTTGATTTTGGAAGGCCGATTGTTCAAGCTCGTAAAGCAGTTATGCTTCGCCTTCCAGCTTCGCAGGTGTCCTTCTTCTTCTTCCTCAAAGGGCTTCTCTCAAGAGATAGCGACGCGCTATGATGGCCAGGCACGTGCTTCACGTGGACTTGCTGTTCGCGGGAGGGTGCTTGAACAAATATGATTACTCCCCTACAAAAACACGGACCTCAGAAAGCACCCCAAAGAGGGGACTCTTCAAGAGCCTTGGTCCCCTTGGTGGCTTCCTTCCGGCGAAATTTGCATGCGCCAGAATCAAAACCCGATGAAAGTTAGAAAGAAAGTCCCAGCCATGGATCGCGGCTCTTGTAATTCTGTGCATGTTAAATTCGGGTTGGTGGAACCGCCTTTTGGTTTCAAAAGGAAACCAAGAGGAAACACAACATTTTGGGTCTCCCCTAAATTTGAGACAATATGTCCACTTGGCTTCTGTAAGATGCTTGCTGATAAGGTGAAACTGCTGTCGGAACGAAAAGCACCTCGGGCAGCAGGGGGAATTTGTATTCCACTTGTTGGAAGGATCAACCATTGTGGTTTCCAGGACTTTCCGCCTTGAGGGGTTTGGGGGACATGTAAAACGACCCACTGTTCACCGGAGGTGGGAGTTCGCCAGGACGTTTGAAGCCGACGGCCGCTTTGTCGCCGCGGGATTCGAGCCGTTTGGGCCGCTTGACATGGAGCTTATGCTGTGGAAGAAACCTCTTTGGCTATGTGGGAATGGGTCAAAATAAAGCCACCAGTTTTCGTCCCTGTTTCCACTTACCAGGGTTCCATTTGGGGTACCGATGTTTGACCCACAGCCATGTGTTTGTCGAGGGTACCCGTTTTACCTTAGTTCACACGGAGACCAACAGGGAAGCCGCAGAAATGGCTGGGTCCCCCTACGACTCAGCTACATCGAGGGTTCAATGGCAATGGGTCGAGTTCTCGTGGCTTTCCCCTGTCTCGTGGTTTCCCAATAGTCAGGCAAACCGTCAGGTTGGCGGTTTGGATTTGGAAATTTCAGCCCTTGGTTCTTCTACAAATGGGAAACCATGCCTAACCACGGTCAAATCACCAATCCAAACTAGAGAGAAGCTGAATTGTGGATCAGGTAGGATTGGGCAAACTCCATTTGAGCCACAATCAAAACCCGGGTAGATGAAGGTTAGTAAGGGATAATCCCAACCATAAATAGCTGCGGATATCCGCCTTCTTAACTCTTTACATGGTTCTGGGTAGACCATTTTATTACCGGGTTTTGATTATGACTCATTTGACCAGCCCAGTTACCCGGGTAGATGAGGAGTTGGGCTGGTCCCATATTTTTTCTGCGGATATCCGCCGTTTGTCCTCTTTGCCACAGATGGGTAGACCACATTGGCTTTTATTCTGACTCCGGGTGCCTGCAAATTCACAGAAGGAACCCAAAAAGGGGGGTCCCATTGCCCACCATTCTCCAAAAGGTAAACGCGAATTTCCTGCATTCGACACAACTGGTTTCTCTGATTTTAGGGGACAGAACTGTGTTTCCCTGTGACAGCCAACTTTTCTTTTGGGGTTCCTTGATTTTCCAATCCAAATTCGTGGATTGGGTGCTGCCGCACTTAGGCACGATCATCATGTGGGTGCAACCTCTTTTGTATGTGGATGCCCTTCCGAATTCATCGCCTTTTGCGAGCCGTTGCCCGCTCCAGCCTTAAAATGGCAGGGAGAGGTGGGCAACCCCCTGTGCGGCGCTAGCTCTTGCTGCTTGCGGGGCACTTTTCTGCTTTTGCCCTTGAAGCTGGTGAGGACGAAAATACCGCCGTTCCGTTGCGTACTCATGCCTAGGTCCCCCAGTACTGCCCTTTCTCACCAACTTTTTTTGGGGAGGGTTCCCCTACTAAAATAGACTACTGGAAAAATCGGGTACCCTTATCCTAACCTCTCTGCTGGAGGACCTGGCATTCCATGATATTCCATGGACATCGGAGTGGTTGCGACGTTTTTTTGGTCTTCCAAGCGCCTGGCTTCGTCCTCACCAGGTAGAGCCTGCTTGCGCTCTCTCTATGCGCAGCGGGTGCCAGGTACAGCCTGCCCCGGGTTGACACCCCAGCTGTGACTGGGGGATGTCCCATTCCCAGTGGATCCATTCACCTGTATAGCAGGCCCAGGAAACCACCCCCTTGCAGAAAACGAGAAGGAGCAAATTGCCGGGCAAGCCCGCTATATGGGAATCCGGGATCCACTGCTTGACTCGCATTCAAGGTAAAACC